CAATTTAAATGGAAAGAAAGGGACGAAGGAAAACGAAAACGAACGCAACAACATCTGTTGAGGAAAAGAGTTTATGCAAAATCTACTACTACTTGCCTAATTTTAAAAATTATGATAAAAATTAGTGAATTTTTAAGAATGAGAAATATTGACTGTAAACAGATGGAGACATTATGTTACAATGCCGTCTCCGGGACTCGAACAACGGACCTCTCGAATACGCGCCAAGCGTGCTGACTATTAGACCATGAAGGCATGCTAGAAGACGGGAGAAATACATTATAAGCTCTTACCAGAAATTGTTATATTATGATCCGTCGCTCAGACAGACAAGTGGTTAGTGACTCTGAAGGGCCTGAGTACGAACGAATCCGGGAAAAGGCATGGATGTAACTTGCACGTTTCTTTATAGGAGATAACAGTAGCCAACCTTTTACGTGTCTCCATAATAAAGAGACTTCTGCTTTCGGCCTTAATAGCGGCCAACGTATATAAACGGCTAGTACATGCCTTTGGAAAAAAATCAAAAATTATGATCCAGTTTCTCACTATAAACAAAGCATTAAGTTCTATTGATTCCCATAGTTAGTTTGCTTTACTTCTATTGGCCCGATAACATCGAGTAAAAAATTAAGGAAGCTAAACAAATTGTTAAATTCGGTGATCTATCGCTAACTTTATCGCAGAAGGTAGCAAATTTTCAGAGAGCTCTGCTGGTTCTATTTATAAGGTGAGAATATAAGATGAACGTATACATATAATTTCACAAAGTAAAATTTAATAAATAGTCGAGCCCACGAACAAAAAAACAACTGAGCACAATTTTTAAACATTGAAAAGCACAAAAATGGGCATCAGGATTTACAGTAAGACGAATTATATAACATAGTATATACAGATTCGTAATATTATAGTGTAAATAAAATATAAGCGAATATTTGCGCTAATAGACCACTTAGTCCTTTTCTGATACTGACGTTGCTTTGCATGGAATTGCACATCTTAGACAGGATTCCGCCTATATCAGGGAATCCTTATTAACATGGTAAAGATATATCCTATAATAAGCACCGCTTTGTATATAGGAAAAATTACTTAGACACGAAATGTATTTTATTATGTATTATTAAGTATTTTAGTCAAATGTCTTTCACAAAGTGTTCGTGTCTTAGATGAAAATCATCTAAGATGCGATGAGATAGATAGCAAAATACATATAAGACTTCGTCAATGATTTTCATTCAATAAAAGATGAAAATTCCGAAAAAATATCATTGACTGAACACAACCATATGTGTTTTACTTCTTTGAATTTCCTATCTATTATTGCTTTGTAAATTGTTTCCAAACCATTGCACATACTGTTTGAAGCACTGCTGTACTAAGCCAAGAAATAATATCTAAATAATATTTTTCGTAATAATTTCACGTTTAAATAATGATGATAATTTCGCATTTAAATATCTCTGTTAAACAATTCAGAATTTTTCTCTGGAGAAAATCTATTATAGACTAGAAGAGAAACACGCTAATGTAACAATCAAAATCGTAAAAAGAAAATTGTATTTAGCGTAAGTATATTGAAACACTCAATCGATTTCGAGAGCAGCTAAAGGTCCCTCCTCATCAGGAGAAAAAAATACCTAGAAAGAAGAAAAATAAAGGGGGGGGGAGTCTCAGAAACACGTGGTCCTTATCAGCACTGCACGTGGTTATAAACGGATTTTTAATCAGAGTTACACTGGCTGCCTACTTTTACTGAGCCTGGCTATCTGATCAAACATCTAACACAAAAGACAAGGAAAAATTAGCCAGTGTAACTCTGATTAAAAATCCGTTTATAACCACGTGCAGTGCTGATAAGGACCACGTGTTTCTGAGACTCCCCCCCCTTTATTTTTCTTCTTTCTAGGTATTTTTTTCTCCTGATGAGGAGGGACCTTTAGCTGCCTTCGAAATCGATTGAGTGTTTCAATATACTTACGCTAAATACAAGGTTGTTTTTACGATTTTGAAAAGCTATTATAATCAATTTACTACGAAGACATTCACGCATCTTATCAGATAGGCTAACAAACTTACAGTGGCTGCAATAATGCTTAATTTAGTTTTACAATTAACATAAATGAAATTGTTTCACATAGTATCTATAGCCTCAGCAATGTGTCAGCTTTCTTTTTGGATCAAAAAACGATAGAGTCTATTATTTAAATATGAATTTTAGGTATTACTGTACTTTCATTTTGTATGCCAATCCTCGACCGCCCTTAAGGTAATAAAAATATTGCTTCCATTTTTAACATCATATTTGTGCGTAGCAGTACTTTCTACAATAAAAGCGGTAACACTTAAATTCAGGAAAGGAATAGTACATCTTAATTTACAGGCTGGTATTCATATCTTTACAATAGAACATCTCAATCATACACTTAATATTAAGAGGAATATATTATTCCATTGTTGTTATTAATGATATATTTATAAAAATAATAAAAACAAGTCACAATATAAATCAATCTTTGTCATTAAGTCACTGGTGCTCAGTTAAGCACTTCTTCGATATCTTTGGGAATCACTGCCAGTTCTAATCTTTTCAGTAGTAGCACTGATATTTTATCTAGCGAAATGACATGATGTTCTTTGAACAAGCTCGAAGCTCTTATAACTGGTTATTCAAACGAAAAAGGGCACATCCAACTATCCTATAATTTAAAGAATGGTTATCTGGAAAATCAGGACCCACAAGCGGCCGAGCAACGTTGCCGAATGCTATTAATTCAGCAGTTTGCCCGTTTGCCGGGATTCAAATCCTGGCGAACGGGCTGGCTGTATGGTTGGGTTTCGTGTTTTTTTCCATGTGTAACGTAAATACGAGCCAGTTTCCTTTAAAAAGTCCTCCGCGAAGGAATCGCTTTCCATAGGTAGATAATACACGAGTTGTTTAACTTTTCAACTAACCTAACTCAAACATATAGCAGATGAAGATCGCAGACGAAGACTGCGAGATTCTGCAGACCCCACATTATCAGAAATGAATTCCTGTTGATCTGAGACCCAAATAATGAAAAACAATAAATGACTCACAATCTTTCAATTAAATGTCACTGGAAATATTATTCGATTACATAATGCAAATTTCAGGTATTTTATGGAGTTGTTTTTAGTTGATGCACGGTATTCGTGAGATTTTAATAAAAGGAAAATACATCTTAACTATGTACGATAATCGTTTCATGTACTTTTGTGATTGCCAATATATGCAACTAGTACTGTGGATGATATTTCAAATTTTAATACTTTATGATACGCTACAAAAAGAATTTTATTCTGGCAATATTCCAAAATATTTGCAAATCTCATCGGAACGATTTTCTAGGCACGAATAATGCCTAGAAAAACTTTTCCTACCTTCATAATAAACTTAGAAAGTGTTTTAAGTGCTATTAATTTTAATTCTTTCATATGATTGGTTTTAACAATAGTTATGAAATTCTTTGAACTGTAGTTTAGTATTTCAGAAATTCGCAGAATATAATAAGCAAAGCATTGACTAAGTTATATACTTTGGCGCAAAATAAAGTTCCATTTACATATAATTTTTCGAAATTCCCTGATTTAAATTAAACTATGCAATAAATAATTTTGATTTTATGTCAGAATTATCAAATAGCGCACACTCGAAGAATTATCAATTAGCGCACACGCGAAGAATTATCAATTAGTACATTGTCACTTTGTCTTAAATTTTTGCAAAGATTTTTTTCCTTCGTGCTGCATCATTATGAATTGATTTGCCAGATTAAAAAAATAGGGTTTTATGGCAAATGTTACTGAATTTTCATATTATATAAATTCACTTTGATTGCACATTTCTCTGTTATGTCAAAGTTAAGCACTAGTATACAATCAGCTTTATACTGAGGTGGCATTTCATAAGTACACTTTTGCAACACATTGTTGCCATAACACTTTGCCACATGTTAGATTTACTCGGTTGACAATTTATTTAGCTTCATCTCTAAGAGGTTAAGGCGTAGCTTTGTAGCAAAAATACATACTAAATTTACTCAACCATGCTGGAGATAAAGCATAATCACCAATCTTACCCAATTAAAAAAAGAAGTCACTTAATTTCACATATAACATATATGAAAAAGTAAACAAGGCATTTTACTGTACTGTTGGAATATGCAAATGTAACTGCTACATAAAAAATTAATGAATATTAAAATCCTTGAGTTATAATTTATCTCAGATCACTATGTTAGTGTTCAAATCGGAACACTGGATTGGGTTATATAAAGTGAGGTAAAGTTTGCAAGGGTTACCTGCTTGGAGAGAGATGCCTTCGTGGAAGACTTTTTGAAGGAACTATCTTATATTCAAGTCACACATGGAGAAAAACACTAAAATTTCTATCCAGTCAATCCGCTCACCGGGTTGTAAACCCGGGTCGAATTATCAGCATTCTGCGGTTTCATCGCTGCGCTGCCGGGGAGTCTGAATCGAAACAAAGTTACGTACTAAGGAAACGACTAACGAAAATGTATTCTTTATTAACGGAACTAAACTCGACAAAACAAAGAAATGTATTTTGAGAATAAAGCAGCTTTTATAAAATACTATATACCGTCCCTATTGAAACCATAGATGAAAGTGAGTAGAAATATTCAGAATCTTATTGTTTCGGATGTAATTCAGTATATTTATTTTATTTGCTTCAGGTTTGATTTAGATATACAAGTTTCATTTTGTTCAATATATGTTTAATTGAAAATGTAACGGAAATATTTAAAATATCTTTATCAAAAATATCATTCTATTAATGAAAATACTCTGTAAAAATGACATAGATATAACGAGAAGTTAATTGAAAAAGGAGGGAGGGGGAAATATTAAATAAAGCTGCTGGGAAAAATCATTCTGCACAGAAATTTTAGCTGCAATTATCTTTAGTGGGAATAACAGCATCTGCGTGTATCTGTTAAAAAAACACTTTATATGTATCACACTTTTGTAGGTTAGATGAGTATGACATAATTTTAAACTCACACTTTGCTTTCAACAATGGCAGCAAGTGGTCTGTTCTCTCTCGCAGTTTTGTGCTTTGCCAGTTACAATGGCTTAGCGCAAGGTAAGTTCAAAATGTACATTTCAATTTTAAATTTATGCTTAATTTTATGTTTCTCTCAAAAGTTTATTTATCAATTTTTTTACGCTTCATGGGCTATTCAATTTTTTATGTTTCCTATATTTTTAATATATGGAATTATTAAAAAATTGCAGTAGGTTCTTTAAAACATTTCTTAAATCCAGGATTTCTGGATAGGAAAATTATAGCTTTCAAATCTAACTTTACGTGTGTAAAAAATCTGTCTTTATTTCTTCACTGGAAATGATACTTTATAAACTGCATTATTGTTATTCAACATCTATAATATAACAACAGATTTTCTGAAAACATTCCATATTTAGACTGTAATAATGAAAGCCAAATTTTTATGTTACAACTCTTATCCAGGCTGCGCTTTCCAACTTTCGCTATTCTTATAGGAGAAGGGAATTCACGTTAAGCAGAATAAAAGATAGTTTGATTCTAATAATGGCCTGCAAGGCTAGGGAAATAATTCTTTCTTTTCGCTTTTATCTTGTTCCATATTCAATCTTGAAAACTGAAGTCAGCTCCAAATATGCAGAAGTATACCACTTCTGCATATTTTCGGCTAGCCGCTTTTTCGGATATTAGAATAATCGAAACAATTATATTGCTATTTTTACAATCGCAAAATGCATCTTTAAGCAGGTAATTGAATTTTAATTTTCTATTTTCAGCTTTTTCAAAAATATATAAATATTGCTAGAATTAAAATGTGCACATCTCCGTGAAGCAAGATATAAAACATAATTTGTTTAATAAAAATGATGCATTTAAATTACTTTTAATTCGCTACTCCGGGATGGAATGAAAGGAGTTGCGTGCGTAACTCCTTTCATTTGAACAAAAATAAGCGAGAACGTTTCAGCTTACAATTCTTTACCAGAATGAGTTTTTAGAATCGCGTTAAATGCAGATGAGAAGTATAAAATAGTTAAATCAAAGTTTCACTGACTTCGAGAGAGAAGCATGCGTTTGCCTTTTGGCTACGTCTGTCTAACTGTTAGTACGCTCGGCCGTATTACATGTCTTTTGATAGCTTTGCTGGTTAGTTTAATATTACGGTCCAGCTAGGTTAGAATTGTGTTAGCTTCGGCTAAGTCTCCTTAGTTAATCATTAGTTAGTTCTTTTTTCTTACATTTTATGTTTAAGCCCAAGTGGAGGCTTTGTTGTACGCCCTGAGAAAGGGACCATCTGTGAATCATCATTTTCAGCAATAAAGGGTAATTAACCCTTGATTTTGTGTTTTTGTTCTTGGACTTAAGCGATTATTCGCTAAGTATTCACTAGGTTCCTCAACACTTAGTTTAGTAGAATAAAAGGGAGGAACGCTACAAGTTTATTAATGTAGGACTTAAAAGTTATTGGCTTGAAACAAATCGCGCAGCCTTTTTCTATTCAATTAAAAATCAGACTAAGACACTTTATGAACAAAAAAAAAAAAAAAAAAAAAAATCAACTTAATATTCTAAGGCATATTAATAAATAATTTGCATTTCTAATTTGAAATTAATATATGACTTGAAAAGCAAAAGCTATGAAAAAAAAAATAATTTGCATTAAATTAAATTTTAATGCTCAGTTTCCAGTAAGCTTAATTTTTCTTTGCCTAAGAAGAAAGAAAATCGATTCTCATAATTAGAATTCTGTATATCTAGATTCCGGATGATTTGATTTCTGCTGTCCAGTCAATGTACTATATTCGCATATGTGCTTACAGTAATTAAAGAAAATATCTTCATTTGAAGCTAGATACCCATCTTAGATTCTTATGATAATATTCATTTGTAAAATTTTTAATTTATACTTTAGGAGTTTATAACGTATTTCTCCCGTTTTCCCAGTGTGCCTTCGTGGTGTAATGGTTCTGCACGCTGGGCCGTATTCCAGAGGTCCCTGGTTCGATTTCCGGCGAAGGCGGTTGCTCATTTTTCATCTTGCCTCCTTCCAAAAAATACCTAATGTCTCTACAAGTTATAGCTAAAACGTTGTAAACAAATAAAATGTTTTACATGGCAATTTATAGCTTTTTTCAATTTTTAGAAATGATAAACTTGGGTGATTTGCCCATCGAAAATCCAGATTTATTTGGAGGTGATATCCTTGGTGTTGAAGAAAACGAAGTAAGTAATGAAAACAAAAAGTGATTTTATATATTAAAAAGCTGCTAAGTTCATTCCTTTTAATATTCCTCGAACGAGATAAATGAATGAATTTGAATTCTTTTAAGCATTCTTTAAACTACATATTTCGTTACCTGGGTTTAAAAGAATGTAGTATTACACTTAAATTTTCAAATGCGGATCTCAGTGCGCAAAATTTAAATACTTAATAATAAGTTCTTCCATAGTAAAGCTAGCAATTTAATTTTAAAGTATATTTGAAATCCATTTATCGTCAGTTTATGGAATATTTACCTGAAAACGTTAGAAAATGCCAATAATAATAATAAAAAAATCTGTTTCATATGTCAGTTTTTTTACTTTTTTTGGTCTCATGTATATAGAAATAAATATTTAAAAAAGTCTCCATAAAAATCTGATATTTAAATCTCATAAAAAAGATAATGAAATAGAAGAAGAAAATGTCATACAATTTAATGGGAAGAACAGGTTAAATAATTCTCTTTACAAAATTCATGTATAATTTTGTATCATAAATAATAAAAGACTGGAGAGCTCTTGATCAGTGTTGAAATTCTCCCACATCATTCGTTTTTCCATTGACCTTTCGTTATTTGAAAAATGTCTATACTTAATTTTTTTCTCTTCTCATTCTTTAACATTAAAAGAAAGAATCTTCGTGTGTGCAAGCCAGTAGTAACGCAAAATGAAAAGCGCAGGAGTAAGAAATGCTTCCCACAGAGTGTCTAGAGCAGGCTTCTTAAACTTTTTTCAGTCGCGACCACTTCTTATCACTAAGATCGTTTTCGCGACCCCAGGACCCCATAATATTTACGAAAATTTTGTGAAACCACGTAAGCATTGCGCAAATCCGACACACGCGTGAGTGAAAACTGTCAATTTTTTCACTTGTACTGTAATATACTATTGCAGTTTTAGGTAATTAATTTCTAATTTTAGGAAATAGAACAATGTGAAAATTTTAAATAAGTAACAAACGAAATGACAGCGTCACACACAAAGCAAGGAAAATGAACGTTTATATCAAAAAAAGAATGCGTCGAAACGTTTTCGTTTTTCTTTGTCTGTACTGTCTTATCTTTGTCTATTTTCAGATACATTGTGTAAAAATTGGTAAGTGTAAAATTATTATAATAAGATAAAAAAATATCAAAAGTGCTAAAATTTTCGGGGACCCCCTGCTGCAGGTCCCGCGACCCACAGTTTAAGAAACTCTGGCCTAGAGGATATCCGTGCACACCATGCTTTCACAGTTCCATTTAAAATTTTCGCATTTAAAACGGAATCGATTTGTAAGGCCTTTTCGCGTGTCTTGACTTAATGATCAATCTTGTGATCACAAATACGGGGCTTTACTTCTTTAGAATAGATCGAAAAATAATCGTTCAGATAAAGCACATTTCGAATCACTAGAAAAATTTATCGAAAATCGATTCTTTCTCCAATCATTACACGAGAGCCAAAAATTTAACAGTTCCACTCTCGAGAGATGTATTTTTTATAATCACTCGGAATTTCCACAGTTTATAAAACTAAATCAATTACTCATCCTCATTTTACGCAGATGCAATAAAATACATTAAATAGGCGATTTCCTAGTACTAAAGTAGATCATTTCATGTTTCACAGATTGCATAATTTTCGGTCGGAAAACATAAAAGGTTTGGGCTGGAAATCGTGATAACTCGGACTTTAACTCTGGTGCTGTGCTACAAAGAGGGATGTTCTCTTCAAACGTATTCAATACTTTTGAAAATTTTGTTACTGCCTGTGCTAAAAATCGATTATTGTGAATCTCTAATAACAGAAAAAAGATTTTTTTCGTAATGTGTGCGTCTCGATGAACGAAGACAGAGAGGCCCATTACTATAAAATTTGGCTGATAGCTTTTCTAAAGGTGGGAGCTCAAATACGACTCCAAAACTTTTTTTTTTCAAAATTTGATTTTAGAATTTTTTATTTAATATTAAAATGATCTTTTAAGGTTTGTTCACGAATATTCTCGAAAATTTATCATCGTACAATCAAGTAATCATCGTACAATTTAAGTTCCCCTGTCATCGGATCGATTACAACTTTTTATTCAAAATACAATTTATTTGGTTTATTTAGTTGTTTTTCAAATAAAATTTATTTGGCTTAATTATAAGAGGCCATTTTTTATCTAAAATAGAGCACTGAGCGTTCATTTATGTATATCACTCATGAATTAAAATTGATACATATTTTTATGTAATTTTGATAGAAATAAATCTGACATTTCTACAAACGTAATACAACTTCAGTAATATAGTTTCGTAGTAGGTATGTAATAAATTATTCTGATAATAATACTGGCAGACTAAGCAACATCATTGAAAATCTAATAATGTTTTTAAAACTAACAAATCCTTTCTGAAAAACGAAACCTGGACTCAGCTATAAAATACATAGGTGCTGAATTAAGGAATTATTTTCACTTGTTTGTGCGAGAAAAGTTTGCATAATTTAACATCCAACTTGCAACTTAAATGTATTGGCATCTAAAACCGTACTGCCGTTTAAAAAGTATGTTTTACACCTGTTATTCAGCTGAAACCTGTGGTTTTGTGAAGTATAATTCGACTTATTCATGTAGCAGCTTTCTCATGCTTAATACTCTATGAGGTACTTCTACCACCTAAAAAGGTGGCATGCCTACCACCTAAGCATGCCTTCGTAGTGTAGTAGTCTGCACCTTGGGTGCGTATTTCAGTGGTCCGTGGTTCGATTTCTGGCGAGGGCGTTGCTCATTTTTCACTCCTCCTGCTTCCAAAAAATACCTAATGTCCCTATAATTCTTATTACGAAAAAGTGCAAGAGCTTTGTTGAAGTTATTTATTTAACTAACATTTTTGTGCTTTTTCATTGCAGATGTATCCCGTCTCATTTTTGTTTACAATCTGGAACTGCATACCTATGTAATATGTATGTGTGTAGTGGATATCATTAGCCCTAAATCCTCCCAAATTTCTTCCAGTTTGAATTGCTGCGTGGTTACGCGCGAAGTAACGTGCGAAACGCTAGTTTAAAAACTGTGATGAATCATTTTTTTCCCTTTCTCGCTCTCTCTTTTTTGCATGAATTTCAATACTTTTTTATTCTCTTTTCTATGTTGTAAAATACTTGCATATATTACTTTATGATTAGTTTCATGGAGTTGAATTTATGATTCAAAAATTAAGACTATATATTGTTTATTTAATGAAGGTTCCTGCTAAAATCCAGGAAAAAAGAATCTATAGGTAAAGTGCAAAGTGCATCATATGAGTGCACAATTTACATACAAAAACCATGTTTAAAACTTGACTGAAATAATGATTTTAAAAATTTCAATTTAGGATCGTAGTGCAGTTGTTAACAGCAAAAACCTATGGCCCGGAGGAATAGTACCATATACAAAGGATCCCGGATTAAAAGCTACAGTGTGTGAGTAAAAGTTTAATCTTTCAAATAAAAATTTTCCAATTAAACAGTCAATCTTAATTAAGTACCACCAATATTTATTTCATAGACTTTATATATTTTTTCATTTGTGACAATGAAATGGGAAACTGAAAATAACGACCTAAATCTGTAAACAAATGAAACATTTTATATAAATATCTGCAGGGTTTTGAATAATCAAATTAAAAAAATAATACCAGAAACCATTCTGTTATTTTGAAACATCTACACGGATAAGTTGGCATTTAGTTGCACGACATATACTAGCCTCCAAGAGCCAAGCTATCAATTCCAGCAAGTTTCAAGTTATGGTCGAAAGCATTTTGTCTCATTCTTCTTAACTTGTTTTAAATTATCTTTGTTCGTTCGCAATCTTGCACTTTTGTGCAGTTGCTTTGAATACAGTCCACTAATATTCGATGACATTACTGTTATGCAATATCACTCAGCATGTGCTCGCAGTTGTTATTTTACAGTGATAATGTAGCTTCTTTTTACAACTTGGAGCCATTATTTTTTGCAATATGTTATTTGTATCCGAGCCCAATTTAACAGCGTTTTCTTCAAGATATTTTCAAGTGTATTTAAATGAGAAGGGAAGATCCTGATAGCATGGACACAAGTTTTGCGACTCCGCATCTTACTAAACAGCTCCAAACCACCACAATTTCTATGTATGACTCTTAAAAATTAATTAGCTTTAATCATTAGTATTGCAACCCAGATAGAATAATATTGTTACCAAATTATGAATTAAACCTCGTTAATTTAGTCCCAACATTTTAGATCCTTAATGGATACATCATAGTAAGCTCTAATTGTCTTTATAATTGTTAATATAAATTGTTATATTGTCCAATGAATTTCTTGTCTATGAGTATTTACTTCACTATTGATCTCCACCAGTGGCCGAGTGGTTAAAACCGCTATATACTAGTAGGTCTAACTGGTTTGGATTCGATCCCAGGCAAACGGACTGGCTGCGTGGTTGGTTTTGCGCATTCATTTTACGCACGGATTGTGAATGCGAGCCAGTTTTCCTCAGAAAATCTTTCACAATGGCATCGCTGCTTTTAGGCAGATATCCTTAATGGTGTTGCCGTATTCAAAATAAGCTAATGTACTTCTGCTGAAGCTGCTAAAAAAGCGCCTACTCCCTTAGTGTCTTTAGTCACGTGGGCGTGGGGAGGAGCCTAACCTTGTTTGTCAGCTGATCTTGCATCATTTTATCCGTTTTACAATTGAACTGAGGACTACTTTAGTTTTAGGCAGATGCTCAATGCTCAGTTATTTTCTTAACATAAAAATATTTTCTTTTTAATGGCGGGCACTAGCCATTATAGGCGCTGGCCACTACTAAGGTCGTAAGCGGTGGTCACTTTATAATGGAGGCACCTGAAAGGTGGACTACCGCTGCGTTCTATGAATGGACATACAGTTTATATCTCTTCTCCGGGATTCGAGCCCGGGTCCTTCAGTACCGCAGTCGGAGTTACTAACCACTTCCCCGTCTGGGTGGCGAATAAAAATAACTTTGTTCTATAAGTTTAGCAACTTTGGGGAAATTTTATTTCAGTAATGTTAAACAACATGTGTATATTAATACAAGTATTAATACAAGTTTTGTTTTGTTACCTAAAACTAACATCTGTAATTTCAGTTTTATGCGTACTAAGCTCCCCGCAATTGAAGCTATAGCAGTTTTTCCAATAACATGATAAAAATTTACCTTAAATTCGATCAAATTTAAAAATTAGTGTCAGTTTAAAAGACTTTTTTTTAAAGGTAAATCTTATTTTCGGCTTGAAAATTTGCTTAAATATTTTAGAACCCTCTGTAGAATGACTTACATATGAATATACGAATTTATGTTCGTTGGTTTTAGTTATTATTATTCTTTATTCGCATCTTTCATCCAAGCTCCGTTCGCAAGGATGCCCAGCTGAGTTACAGCCGTTGGTGCTGCTAAAGGTGGCTGCTTTGTGTACTGAATTCTGAACCCTGTGTACCCTAAACCACTTGTAAATTTAACCACGTTTTAATACCATTGTGTTATATATGTACAATAAATACGACTCTGCTATTTGCTTTCCTTCCTGGTGTAACAATCTTAATGCTCAGCAATGCATATTAGCTTTTTGAGCAATAATTTTGGAAAACGAATCCAGAAGGTATTTCGTATCAACGTAGTACAACAGATGAATGCTAAAATTAAGTAAAAATTTACGGATTAAATTTTTTATTTAAAATAGCTTATTTCTCCCACCTTTCTAGCGTGCCTTCGTGGTGTAGTGGTTCTGCACGCTGAGTCGGTAATCCAGAGGTCCGTGGTTCGATTGCCGGGAAAGGCGTTTGCTCAGTTTTCATGAATCCGGCTTCCTAAAAAAATACCTAATGTTTCTACAGTGGCGCCCGAACTAAAAGGGTGTTGGATGATGATTCTCCTCACCCAGGATTTGGCGATTGGGTTCCCTAAAAAACCCCAGTCGCCCTTTAAAAGGGGGAAGTATATAAGATATTTCTCCCGCCTTCCTAACGTGCCTTCGTGGTGTAGTAGTTCTGCACGCTGGGCCGGTATCCAAGAGTTCCGTGGTTCGATTTCCGGCGAAGGCGTTTGCTCATTTCTCATGACTCATTCTTCCTAAAAAATACCTAATGTCTCTACAAGCTTAGTACAATAAGTAGTACGTCAAGTTGTAAAAAATCTTTTACTGTATAAGATAAGAGACCTGTGTCTCATCATCGTTGACATGGATAGTTTTATTCAGAGTTTACTCTAAACTAAGGCTCCTTTTTTATCTAATAATTAAAGAGAATTACCTGCTGTATTTTTCTCGCAGTTTCTTTGCTTCATATTGTGGTGCATATCCTGGTTATAAGACATCACTTCTTTGTAACCAGTTTATCTCTTAAGTTTGTGTTTTTTAAATTAATTTTCGTGTCTTAATTATATGATATTGCTTCATATATTACAAATAGGTAGTTACGAGTTCATAATTATTAAATTAAAAGTTTAAAAAAAAAAGAAATCTATTTACAAAGACTAAATTCAATACTTATACTTTTCATCTGAGAATACAAACATTTATAAATAACTTTAGATTTTTTCTGTATTTGAAACTTTCATTTGAGAATTTGTATTTGATTTTTAAATATATGCTTTTGTATTTCAGTTGATTTTATCCTGCAACAAGCCTTCGATGAGTACAAAAAGAAAACATGCATACATTTTGTTCCCAGAACAACAGAAAAGGACTACATTAGAATATTTCCTGGACAAGGGTGAGAAAAGCCTCTAATTTTTAATACATCGGTCTTAAACTATGTAGAATTTAAATTTAATCATCACCTTGATTTACTATTGCATCACTACTCAACCGATAAAAAAGAAACAAAAATTGTAAATAATTTTACAAAGTTAAATTAACACGTGACGCCGTAGGTATTGATGTTACGTCTACGGCATCACATAGTAATTTTACATTACTGCCACTTAGTACTGCTCTTGATTTTAAAATATTTTAAAGTGTCATCTATCTAAAGAAATCTGCAAAATAAAGTGCAATTTGTTTTACAGTGCAAACTTAATAACGCATGCTACTGTGATACATGTATTGTATTATTCCTAATTTTCAGATGGTGTAAAGTCTCATTTTCATGCTTAACTTTAATGAATGGATTTCTAGATATCATGCATGTATATATATATGTATATATACTACAATTTGATGTTTTATTTTCTTTTCATATTCCAATCAAATTAATTGAAATGAATTAATTTATTCAGTTTTTCTATTTTTTTCCGGATTTTAGGCGTATATTTTCCGAATTTTAGGCTTTATAATCTTTATTTTTATTACAATTTTTATTCCCTTTTGTATTTTAGGTGATAAAGCATTTTTATATAGTTTTTCATTTTGCCCTAATTTATTTGTAAACTTTCTTGCATTAATTATTATTTTAAATTCTTTCTTATTTTAGCTAATTGCTTCTAAATTTATTCGTTTCCTAAAATTTTGTCTTGAAATGGTTTTGTTTTACAATAGTAAAGTAGTTTTACAATAGTTACCTTTGATTTGTAGAGCTTTTTTAACGACTGCGCCTTTTTTGGTTCGAAATTAATTTTTTTATTTGTATTTAGCGCCTACGTTTTGATTTATTCAATGGTTGTTCTGATTTCTTACTCTAGAATTCTTCTGATAATTTTCAATTTTTATTTTAGTATCACGTCGGAATAGATTATATCTTAACGGCTAATTAAAATTAATTAAAATAAATTAAGAATTTTAAAATTTCACTTTATTGCACATTTAAAGGTTTTTAGTTTAATATTTTTTTGTTAAATTAATTTTAATTTTACAACTTTTTTTTTAATTATTATGTTAAGGTTTCGCAATCATCCAGATATAATTCAGAAATGTGGCTGGGTTGAAAATTTTCCGGCTGCTCAATGAAAGACCAAAGAATTTTCAACAACATTTTAATGATAATTTTATTATGTTGCATTAAATTTTTTGTTTATATTTTGATATGCGTACATCCGATTAGATGGTTGACCCTTTTCTTGATTTAATAGGAATTTAGTTATTATCTCTTGATTATTTGATTTAAATTCGCAGTACTTTTAATAATTTATTAATTTAATTTGAAATTTCTAAACTTTTGTTTCTTAAGAATTATGTGAAAGGGATTCATTTAAAAATGATGTGTTTAGAGCAAATTATTACATGCGAGTATTATTTTTAGGATGGAAAGGGAAAATAACCAAACTGAAATAGAGAGTTAATGGACTATTGCAAATTAAAATTAAAATTTTGATTTAAATAGTTTTTAATCTCACATATATATCTGCAAGATAAAAAATAAATAAGACAAAATGCTAATCATATTTTATTTTGCTATTTTTTTATTACTATTATTTACTATTTTTTTTTTACTATTTTTTATTTTACTAATTTTTTATTTACAATGCTTTCCTTTCTTTTTTTATTTTATCTTCATTTAATTTTTGTATGTAATGTTAAATTTATTCTTAAATATATTTCCAGTAGCAGGAGTCAAAATGTATTCTTATTATTCTTCAAATTTTTTCCATTGATACATCTATGAATGTTTGAAGGATTGCATGTTTGTTATAAAATAGTTTTCTTATTATTCTTATTATTACTCCTATTTTCTTATTACTCTTCAAGTTTTTTCAATTGATACATCTGTGTCTTTCTGAAGTATTCCATGTTTCTTATACAAATAATTTTCTCAAGAACAAGTATATTACGAGTGCATAAATAAATGAGTCAAAACTCACAAATACATGGTAATTATTAATTTTTAAAGCAGCTATGTTATGCGTAATTTGATAAGCGTAAACACAAATGTTGTTTTCCATACTACAATTTTGTGGCAAAATTAAAAATTTAAATTAGCATAAAACTCTTTTTTTTTCATGATAATTGTACTTTCAGGTGACATTCAGCAGTCTATTCAAACAGAAATATTAGAAATGTTTAGTAATATTATAAAATTCCTGTTTGAATCGTATTTTGAATAGTTTTTATTTTTATCGTATTTTGAATGGTTTCATTTTTATATGATTTTCATTCTGATAAGCAAATATAAATTAAATTCACAGGAAGATATAATAAATTAAACTAAATGCTGCTTTTCTACTAATAAGACTTACTTAATACTCATACTTAGGTGATCTATAGATCACCTAAGTATGAGCTCCTAGTAAAATGTATGTAATTTTGATATTTCTATGCAATACTGCGGCAAATAAGACAAAAGATTCTAGAATTTTTACAGAACAAGTAATAGATATCTATGAATGCATTTTTTTAACTATAAGAACATTAAATTTCAATCTCTTACTTTACTTGTAATAAAGATTGTGACATTATTTTAATTAATTTTCTTCATTTTGAGTTTTTACCGTAATAACACTTCTTAATTGTAGATTTCTTTTATAAATAATTACGGAACTGGGTTCAATAACAGCTGCACTGGAATGCGAATTCTCTTATTAATTTCTTATATTTTATTTCTTATTTGGGAAGATTACTAATATCTTTGTTGAGGAAGCAATTAAATGAGAATAATCTATCTCAGTAACAAAATAGATCTAATTATTGATTAATTAATGGGTGGTCAGGATAATGAGCAAGTACAGCAAATTGCTAGTCTGCGCAGAGCATTATTCTTAAAGCGAAATTAAAAAAGAGGAATAATAATAATCTTTAAAATAATGGCACCATTTCTTTGATAGATGTTATTCTCATGCTGGTAAAACAGGAAATCAACAACCAGTATCTTTAGGCCAAGGATGTGGATGGTATGGAACTGTTATCCATGAGCTCGGACATGCAATTGGATTCTACCATGAGCAGAACAGATCGGATAGAGATGACTGGTTGATCATCTACTGGGAAAATGTGAAAGAAGGTGAAAATTGTTATTTCTGCATTTCTGAAAAACACAAGCTTTTAAAATATTTTCGTTTTTTTCATTAGGAAGCTTTTTGAGATACGCAGTTATTCTTTATAAATTTCTTTCGGTAATGTAGGATAATAATAGCATATGTTAATCAGTATAAATAAGATAAATAGTGAAATAAGTAGACATTCATTATGAAACATGGTAGTAAGGATCTAATCAAAATGAAAAAGTAAAATTCTATCTTCCATTTGCGAATCGTCCTCAAAGTTTTGAAAAGTTTGAAGTTTTGGTATTTTTTATTAGTTTTTTATACTAAACTCACTACTATGAAATGCTATAGATCTAATGGTAAGTTTAGGACATGAGGAACACACACAATAAAGAAAAATTTCAAATTACTTATTGTTCACGCAAAAAGCCTCAAAACACAATTTTTTGTGAAAATAGCAATATTTCGTAATTTTTGCTACAAACCGTTTTAAACGGTGACTGTAATTATGAAATATTACGTAGAACCAGCGGGAAGTGCTTCGTGAATGTTTGATCTTGAAACGCATAATGTGTCTTCGGCTTGAACGATGGTGTCATCCACCATAATGAAATGCACGTTGAGAGAATACTTCAATGGGCTATATGTTTCTTATACTTCAATAAACTGCAGTTTCATCACATCTTTCACCACTTTGATGGTATTACCACATAGCCTAAATTCTTCAATGAACCGATCGGGAATAAACTCGCTGGCTGTTTAAAACTTCAATAGGTTAGCTTTGAATGTATTGAATGCTCCATTCCTCAGGTTGGCTGAAAACTGATGAGCAAGGATAAATTATACGTACTTGAAATTCCTGTTTGACATTTCTGACATTTCTACTTTCTGCTTCTGTCAGATACTATAATAGAAGATTTAGCAGCTCTTGATCCTAGTGCGCTTTGACATTCCAGATGGCTGACGACAGCAAATCGAGTTCCCAGAATATATGTGAGCATCGAAAAACCTACTGATGAAATTAGACAGTATTACATTTTTTTTGAATTGTTACATGCCTCTCTAGTTCAAAATCAAGATAAGCAAAAATTTCGCAGAAGTCCAAAAGTAGTTCTTGAAACCATCAGAACATCACGATGCCTAACTCGAAATTTACTGCAAGTCATTAATTCGGTAATTCAGGGGAATGCTTTCTTTGCTCATTCCGAAAATATGATTCTTGCAAACATTGTGGATAAAAGGAGACTTATCAGGGAAATACGGCTGCGTGGATTAACTATCACTTTTCAAGGAAAAAACTATTCGAAGTTATGTCACTCCAGAACTCAACTTCGAAACAACAAACTGTGTAAACATGATTTGAAGGGATAGTAATAATATTTATCTTCTTCCGTTGTAAATAAATATTACAGATAAGGACATTAAAGACCTTTTAAAAACTGGCACATCACTATAACTGAATTTTCGAAGCTTTCCTCGTCATACCAAAGCTGTATAACGGTATGTCAAACTTGTGTTAACTTTAAACAGCTAACTTTAAAGTGCACAGTTTTGAATAACAAAATTAAAAATCATAAACATTTTCATAAACATAGCTTACTAAAAATGTAAAAATAAAATTACCAAAAATTGTAAAATATTGGTATTTTCACAAAAAAAAATTGCGTTTATGAGCTTTCTCCTGAAATACTTAGTAATATGAAATTAAGGTTTTTGAATTCTTTCGTGTTCCTCATGCCTCAAATTTACATCAGGAAAAATTGTATTTTGATGGTGTGAGTTTAGTAATTATAAAGAAACTGAAGAAAAACAGCAAAATTTCTCTAATTTTTTAAATTTTAAATGCAATTCATGAACAGAAGATATATTTTTATGATAAAACGTTTTTTCATTTTACAAAGCTAGGCGATAGACAAGTTTAACGTGCTATTTCGATACGCTCTTTTACACAGTTAATCTTCATATTATTAACAATATAGAAGGTTCTTGTGGCAGCTGCTCCTATTTCTGTAACAAAGTAGTTCTCAGCTTTCAGCTGATTCTCAGACATGTTGCGAATTTCAGCTGTTCTTCCTAGTTCATCCTAGTTCTACTCAATCTGTTTCAAGTCTGGAGATCTGGCTGGTGCACTCATCTGTCAAATATCCTTCCTTTAAATATATCTTTTACCGCAACTGAACAATTTGTGAATGAGCTGTGTTGTTCCATAGAAGGGAATGACAGCAAACTATCCCCCTGAAAAGCATATTTATAGAATCTAAGCTATTCTTCCATAACTCTCAACAGTAAGGGAGCCTTTGTCACACTTATGGAGTTGTGTACTTAACCCAAATTGATGCCTTCTCAGACTGTGTTCTGTTTGTAAACGAGTGAGTGGTAAGCAATCAGAGCGCCTTCTGGCAGACCCTCATCCTTTATTAAGCCTTCAGGAATTAATAACCTTTGAAAGTAAAGGTTTATCGGTAGAAAAGTGCTCACGAGAGAGCTGTGTATCTGTATTATAGCTCCAGAACTTGGTTGAAAATACTAAATATTATTGGTTTTGTAGCTATTTGAATTCATTGTCTAGACATTTTGGATATGGACTCGGTTCCCTAAGACTGTTTTCACAAATCACAGACGACACTAGGCGTTAAATAGGCAAGACTAGTCGCATCTCCACTTCCATTCTATCACAATTCTTAACCTCATTCCATCTTCTAAATATTGTTAGTTACATATTATAAAGCACTGATTAAGACATTTAATAATATTGTACAACAAACATTATGATTGCCGCCGATATATTAAAAATAAACTAAAAGAGGAATAAGAAATGATTGCTTTTTACACTCACCGCAATGTCTTCACTGCCTACACATTAAAATTAAAATTACCAGGAGAAATGTTTTTAACCTTTTTTACAAACTCTATTGAATTTTTTATGGTGTAAATGTTATTGTCTAATAGAGTGGAAAATCTAGAAACTAAATATTTAGCTAAAGGATACGAGGCAGTACCTAAATTTGATACAATAGGGCGGAAAGGAATACCACTTTTATGAATTTTGGGAAGAGCATATAATCTGGCACAATTTACTCATGGTTTCTTTTGATGTAAAATCATTATTCACCAATGTCCCAGTGGAGGGTGCATTAAGATGTCTAGAAACCAGACTTCGCGAATTTCATTTCTCTTGCATCGAAATTGATGAGCTAATTTCTCTCGCTCAACTCTGTTTGAAACAAACACATTTTGTTTTCCAAAATAAATATTACAAGCAAACTGAGGGATTAGCCATGGGAAGCCCCCTCAGTCCCATCCAGGCTGATATCTACATGCATTATTATGAATCAAAATTGTTTGAAACTTTAAACTTCCCGGCATGGTTCCGCTACGTAGACGATACTTTTACCCTGTTTGAAGGTAATAAAGATGATTTAAATAAAGTTCTTTCAACAATGAATTCTATTGATCCTGCTATTCAGTTCACTTTGAACTTGAGACTTGCAATTCTCTTCCGTTTCTCGACATTCTGGTCACACGTAACACATCCAACTTCAGTACTACAGTTTACCGTAAACCTTCATCGGTTTGCCTTCCACCACACTTTAAATCATGTCATCCGACTAAACAAAAGTTAGCTTCATTTTATTCCTATGTTTTCCGTGCTCTTCAAGTTTGCTCCTCCAAACTAGCCCTTGATGAAGAACTAAATTATTTAAAAGCAATAGCTATTGACAGGGGCTTTTCACCCAACATTATTAATCAAGCAGTTAAAAAATTCTCATCTCAACACACTAAAAGCCACACTCTTATTTTAGGAGATTATAAAAATTCTGTTGTCATTCCCTTCTTTCCATCAATTAGCTATAAAGTTGCACATATTTTGCAGAAATTTAACTTTCGGGTTGTTTATTCTCCCATCAATAAAATTCCAACTTCTATACTCAAGGACCCCATTCCGGATATGAATTCCTGGGGTATTTATAGGATTCCTTGCCAGTGTGGTTTAATTTACATTGGCCAAACTAAGAGAGCCTTAAAATTTCGCGTCAAAGAACATGAGGCATATGTTAGAAAAAAGGAAACACAGAAGTCTTCTGTTTCTCAACATTGTTGGTCCGAAAATCACACTTTCAATTTTTCTGCTGCCAAAATTATTCAAAAAACATCTTCCATTGGAGAACTGGATTTTCTAGAGGCATTTCACATTCATAAAAATCTTTCTGTTCTAGTTAACGATCCTAATTCCAATCCAAATTTGCCTTCGGCTTTTAGAGAAATTATGTTTTAGTTCTGGTTTCGCCAACAGATGGCGCCACTTGCTTATTCTTGTCCAGGCTTTCTTATCTAATCATTATTTCCTATCTTGTTCATTTGCGGTTTTGCAGCTGAAGATGATGGTTCGGTAAAACCATCGAAACTAGTCCTGTGAAAATTTTGTAGGTATAACGCTGATTTTTGTTGTTTGACTTCTGAGTAAATGGGATTTTGTTAATTAGCTTGAATATATAATAAGATATTGATGGGTAAGTTAATCCAGGAAAGGAGATATATATATTCAATGTCAAATAATATATCGATTAAAAATATAATATTTTTAATGTATATAAACAAACGAACCAAAGCCAAAACAATAGTCAATAAAATAGACCGAATATAAAAAAGAATACAGTTTACAGAATATAATCCATTTCAAGTATACATTACTCAATAAACTAGACCGAATATAAAAAAATACAAATTACAGATTATAATCCACTTCAAGTATACAGAAAAAGAAAACATTTTCAAAAGCAAGGAGAGGTGGCATGAAAGACAGATGTCCGCATTCTGGCGTGAAAAAAAATTATCTCATTTGATTAAAAAAAATCCATTCATATTTTAAGATTAATGGAAGAAATCAAATTTAACTTTGCTTTAAAACAGCAGCTAAACACGTTAGTTACTGTTAGTTTGCAATCAATAATATCCAAATAAAACACTATGGCTGCTAACTTATCCAAACAAGCAAGCTTTTAACTGAATAATGCTTGGCTAAATTTCTTGCAGTATTTCATTTTTTCTCATTCTCGAACATGAAAATAAAAATTACTGCAAAATTAAACCAAAATTAAAATTTGTGTTTCTGCTAGTAATTTCAGAATGCATATCAGAAAAACTGCTTTTCTTTGAATAAAAAAAAAAAAAAATGCATGAAACTCTTAGTAAAGATGATAGGAATTTTTTATTTCTTACAATTTCCTTTGTCTATACAGGAATGGAGGATCAATTCTTCAAACTGAAACCACATCAGAACCAACTATTGACTCCTTTCGACTACGATTCTATCATGTTATACGGCTCCTACACTTTCTCTAAAGACCGGAAGAATCTGAAGACGATGGTAGGCAAAGATGGTAGATTTTTGGTAGAAGTTGTTGCCAAAGGAGGACTCAGCAAAAGTGACGTGATAAGGATAAAAAAACTATATAAATGCTGAATTCAAGAACTTTGCATTATAGTTTTTTATTCTTAACAAAAGAATACTTTAATAAAGTTATTACTTTGAAATAATTCAGTTGTAATTTATTTATTTCAACTGAATTCTAAATTTCCTCTTTTTTACTTTTCACATATAACATGTTTAAATGATAATGTGAAAATACTAATTTTTTTTGTTAACTTATTTTTGATTTTAGCATTTCTCTGTTATCTGTTATTTATATTCGTAGGTTTTATCGAACTCACATTGAAGAAACTTAAGTAAATAGTTTATACAACTTTCACGTGCTGCTTTAGTTCCCTTATATAATGTAGAAAATCTGAACACACAATATAGGAATTTATATTAAATAAACTACGAACATAATTAAATTTTATTGCAGTGAAAGAGATAAACTTAATATTTTGTGTGCGTATTTCCCCAATGCTCATCTTTGCTAATACTGCAGATATCTATGCATCATTGGAAGGACATACTTGGGCATAATCTTGGAAAATTGATTGATGCAACGGTTGAATATAAAAGATGATTATTACTTCGTTGAGCAAAATAGTTGTAAAACTCCCTACCGAGTGACAAAGTCTGATTATTTTCAAGAATATTTCAGTCAAATTTTGTCGCAAAATGTGAAAATATGTCAATCAAAACCTTTCCCTAAGGTGGGCAGGTTGCACATGATAACAAAAGGCGCGGCCATTACATCCGTGACACCGATCCAGATGCTGTGGTCGATTGTAATATTAAACTGACTAATAAGTGTGCAGTATGAAACGATTCATCATGAATGTCCATTGTATCGCCAAAAATGACGACATTATGCATTTATAAAATATGTAAAAAATTTTAACTTATTTAGTGAGATTGAAAAGTCTGTTAGGCTTTATAAAATAGGAAACGGGAAAAATCAGCAATGTTCTCAATGGCATTCGAAATTGGTGCCTTCGAACCGTTAATTGGACGGGTTTCCAATTGCATCGATGGTACATGGAGAAGAAGGAGAAATTTTCTTACACACTATTCCCACCTAAATGGCAACAAGAGAGGAAAGAGCTCAGTTACTAAATCAACTGGGTGACAAATAATCATCGAACCACATTGTAGGGGGACGCGACTATACTAGTCTTTAGACTTTCCGAAACTGGAAACGGATACAGTCAGCGAAGACCTCCCACGAACTCGAACTCCGATAATGGAACCAGACGTGGTTCCATTTTACACTTTGGAAGGCACGAGGTAAGAAAGGTATAAGTTTGCTTCTATTACAGCAAGTAAAATTTAGTATCGGTTCTAAGTTCATAAGCTGCCGTTAGCTAAAATTCAGAAAATCCCTTATGAATTTTTAAGTGTTTTACACCTTTATTAATAATTTTGTAATTATTTCATGCAGTAGCTTCTCATTTGATCGCTTAAGTAAAGCTGAAATACCTAATTTTTAATATAGTTTTAAAACAGTTGAATTAAACGCAGTCAAGGAATGAAAACAAATTATATTTCCATTAAATCTAGAAACCACAAAATAACCTTCAAAAATTAAGAATTTGTTTTATGACTCAAATTACCAGTGTCCAACAGGGTTTTCATTGTCGAAGAAGGCAAAACGGAGAATAAACAGATTAACACAAGACACTTTATTACTTCCCATCGTGAGGAAAAGACTTTGAATAAACTTTTAGAAAAACGGCTTATTGTTTTCTATGTAAAAACATACTGCACCCACTTTAGTACATATTTATGCGCGGAAAAGGACTGTAGATGCAGTGAATAATTTAGTTGACATAATCAAATCATGTATTCAATAATTGATACAACGCGTCATTTCTCTCCTTTCACGTTTAACCATCTGTGGCGGCTGAGCCTCTGGCCATACTGATTGACTTTTAGCGTTCTAAAAGTCTTTCAGGACTGAAAAAATTATGGACAAAATATTTTTATCACCTATACAGAAATGATGAGGAAATTTTTAAATGTTGTTTCAAAAGCGCCCCGCGACGTTAAAAGATGGGATCTATCTTTTGGGATCTAACTAAGGTACAACTTTAAACTTTAGTGAAGTCACATTACAACTTACATATTGTTTCCAGATGAAGGTACAACATAGAAAAATCAAGCTAAACCTGTTCTTAGCAAGACTGAACAACGCTTTAAGAGATATAAACCCAGCGAAATTATCTTTCTGAAGAGCATCAAAATACGAAGGTTCATTTATAATAAAAGGGAATGGAATTGTCTTCTTAAACCAAAAAACCTTTAAATATTTCGCATTTGCACTCGATGGTAAAATAATTCAAATTTCTAGTTTTCTTTCAAGTAAGAAATGAAAACTGTGGGTTGTTAAACAGATTATTATTACACTGTGAATATTTTAAACAAATTTACGTCTTGAATGAGAATTAAGAGAAAGAATTTAAAAAAAGCTCCGTCAAACATCAACAGAAAATTAATTTTACATATATTTCTGGTTAGATAAATTGGTGTAATTAACAGTCTTTGTGAGATTCAGATGATAGTGTTATTTTGCATTACGAAGGGTCTCAACAACTCCACTCGTAGCAATGAAAACTCTAACAGTGGCAAATACATGAGATATGAAATTTAAAAAAAAAAAAAAAAAAAAAAAAATGTCACCTCATTAAAATGAGCATGAGCTTATAAATCATAAGTGATCGTTGCAGAGTATAAATAATTTATAAAACATAACATTATAAAATAAAAAGAGCATTTGTTAGAAAACGTTATGTAAAATAAAAGAAACTGAGGTAAGCATCACAATGCGACCCGAAATATAAGATATCAGAATACAGGTCAACCGCAGAATAGCCACAATGACTTGGCTAGTTGTAACGCAAGTAATCAGTTCTTCACGAGGCTTGAAGACCGTTGCTAAAATAGCGGCCGAGCGGTAAAGTCGCTGAACACTGATAGTTTGGTCCACGGTTCGAATCCTAACGAACGGGCTGCCTGTATGGACATTTTCACAGGTTTACACATGTTGACATGTTTAACATGAATACGAGTCAATTCCCCTTAGAAAGTCCTCTACGAAGGCATCGGCAGGTAGCCCTTGAGTGCTTTGCCATATTCATATAAAACAAAACAAACCGTTGCCAAATAGATGAAGAGGCGGCAAACAACCAATATGTTTATAGCCAAAGAAAAGAACTCTATCCTGTAGAAATCATTGTTTACATGAAATAAAGATTGCCAATCGTAAAGAAATCGAAGCTTTTACAGGTCATTCGAGGAAAAAAAAGAAAGAAACGTTCAGTTGAATCTACCTAAATTCCTTATAACAGCTGGGGTCTTATAATGAAACAGGATTAACAAAACTTTGAAACTTTAACCCCAGCTGTTCAGAAAGTGAATTTATGGTTAAATGAGGAATCTAGATGTTCTATGACATAATGGTTAATTCTAATGTATATGTTATCGGCAAATTATGAAACGCCAGCATTCTCTAGAATACTTAAGAATTTTCTAGAATGCCTAATGTGTTTAGGCAAAATACGAAATATGAGACTTATTATGTACTTTACCTAGGCATTGCATATAATATCTCAGCATTCTAAAGAATGACAAATGCTCTTTGGGCAAAGTTTGAAAAAAGTCATGGTAAGGCTATTGTTTAAAAGGCGTTCATTCTTCAAAAATACAAATGTTATTTTGAAAAATAATGAAAGACTGTCATTAAAAACTTTTATACAAAATGCGTAAAAACATTAAAGTTGTGCAAAAAAATTATATATATATATAAAAAAAATTATTTTATTTTTAAAAAAGTAAAATAAAATATGAATCTACTAATTGCGCCAAAAAAAGAAATAATTTTGTTCTGAATTTCTCTTAACTTTAATTCTTATAAAAAAATAAAACAAGGTCACTAAACGAACTTTACAAAAAATATATACATTAAAAAATTTTTAAAATGTAATTTTTCCACAAAAATTAAAAAATTTAATTTAACTTGTTGCAACACGGTACGCTTAAATGACATTGTGACTTACACTTCATCTCTTTTTTTCACACAAAGATATTTCATATTTATTTTATACAAAACATTTGATGAATCCTTTGCCGCTTCCACTGGACTGAGAAATCGCAAGTGACCGGACGGGAATTTCGTAATCAGGAATATCTTCAATTCTAAGGAACTTCTTAAGACGTAAAGTGAATTCTGATCTGGCATATAGTTAATTTAAAATTTTCTTAGAAATTTCAAGTCGTAGAAAACATTCATTGCCACACTCATTACCAACTGCCAAAATATTGCGCTAACCACCTCCGCCCTTGTCGACATAAAAGCAGGAACTCGCTCAATAGTTCCCAAAAAAGCAGTAGAAAACTTTTTTCCAAACTCATTTTCATTTTTTTGGCTCGCATTTCGAGATTGATTTGAAAATTAATTTTACTTCCGATACCATTTTCATTTGAAACGGAGTGCACAAAATATCCAATTTTCATATTCTTTGCTAGCCTGCTTCCAGAAATTATGAATTATTTGACGACACTTTGCGCATGCCTCTGCATCACTGTTTACTTTTAAACTCATATCAATAATACATCAGCAATGCATCTTAATGCCATCAATAATACATCAGCAATGCATCTTATTATCATTAATTTCTTACTAACAATTCAATTTCAATTGCCATGAGTTGATTCCTGACTCATACATATCTTATATATATATATATAAATTAGTTGTTTCAAAACAAAGATCACAATATAAGTTGCATAGCATATTTACAATAATTATTTATTACTCATATATATAATGTATAAAATCAAGCATTAAATTGTAAAAAAAAATACTTTTAATGAATTTGGAAATAAATGAAAATATAATAATCTGCATCTCATCAGATTTTTTAAATGCACAAACTTCACAGTCAAAAATACATATTAATGTAAGAAAATCAATATTAAATGCTTTTTCTCAAAAAACAAATGTCGGTACAAGACATATTTTATCGAGTCCAATCATCAGTGGAACTGCAGGTAATCAGTCTTATGTCAAAATGTAAAATTTGAAATGTTACTTTAAGCTAAATTTTTTTTAATCCATTCAGTTTTG